CCCCACCCTCGACCTTGAGGCCGGCCGCCCTCCCCACCCCATGACCTTGAGGCCCCGTGCCCCGATGTTGACATCCCTTTGAGAGGGAGAAACTTCGCGGTGACTCAAATTTAAAAGAGTTAAAAGAATTTTTTTTAAATGGAAAGGGGTAAAAGCGAGTCGCCACCTAATTTTAGAAAAACTAGGAAACCAATTAACAAATCAACTTAAAAGAAATGTCTATGAAACCAATAGATTCTAGGTAAGGGGTTCAAGTTATTCCGAAGGAAAGGTGTTAGTCATCCTTTGAAATCCACAATTGTGGGTCCTGACTAAAATCATTTTTTTCAAACTGAGGAGGATATAAAAACAAATATACAAGTATAATAAACATGTGATATACACAAATAATAACATAAAACAATAATATGAGGATCGGCCTAAGTTTGCCTAACATCGATATATACGAAATAATGAATAAAGAGTTTAATTCAAACTTTATTCGAATAGCTTCAATTGGAAGCAACTCTGTGCACCTTTAAAAACACTTAGTAAAAGTGTTAGTTATAAATAAACATGAATAAAAATAAATGAATCAAAGAATAATTAAAAAATAAAAATCCATCTTATTAACGTGGGAGGCCTCTAAAACCGATGGAGATTTTTTCATTGGCCAATTTTAACAAACAAAATATATGAACTTAAATTAAATTTCCGTCTTTTAACATTGGGGAGGCCTCGAAAACCGACGGAGAGATTTTTTTATTGGCCAATTTTAACAAACAAAATATATGAACTTAAACTAAATTTTTGTCTTTTAACATTGGGGAGGCCTCGAAAACCGACGGAGAGATTTTTCATTGGCCAATTTAAACAAACAAAATATATGAACTTAAACTAAATTTTTGTCTTTTAACATTGGGGAGGCCTCAAAAACCGACGGAGAGATTTTTTCATTGGCCAGTTTTAATTATTGAGTGTGATAAAATATAAAAGACTAATGAAAGGGAAAAATATATAGCACAAACCCAGTGAAACAACATAACATCAAAACTACTATAGATCACTAAAAATAAGAAATTCCTTTTATCAATTCTATAAACACCCAAAATAATATCTACTGTATGAAGAATAAAAGTATAAACAACAAAAATAATAATAAGAAAAAATAAGAAAACAAAGCAGTAACAAGTGCTAACAAAATCAAATAGCAAAATAGAAAGAACCACACCAATGAATATATTTCTGTATAGAATACTTTAGAACGAATGGAGCAGGCAACAATGTCAAGGAAAAAGTCAACAATCAAGTAGTAAAAGGTAGAGCAACCAAAACAATAAATTAAAGTGATTATAAAATCAATCCAAAAACAGAAAAATAATACCTAAATAAAGTAACAAATAACAATTGGTCCAAGTATGATAGAAAATACCCATAAGTGGAGCTTGCTGATAACCTGGAGCTATTTTCGAGTAGATCTAGAAATGGGATTTAGCTCGTCGGAGCTTGGAACATGTTGGCGGTGTTGTGGTGTTGTCTGTCACCGGAGTTGATGCTCTGGTTCGGCGGGATACCTGCTAAATGGAGGAAAAATCGTGAAAGGGGGAGAGGGAAGGGGCTGGTTTGTTTTTGTGTTGCTCTGCTTTATCGGAGCTTTGAGCTCCTCGCCGGAGCTACTTGGTGCAGTGAACAAAAGGGAAAACGAGGATGGGATCTGAGTGAGCTGGGGTTTTGTGAGTATGAAGCTTGCTGGAAAAGGGTTTTAGGTGGTCTTGAGGATTGGCGAAGAGTGTGAAGAGTGATTGAGTTAGTGGGGTTTGGGGTGATGGTTGATGGGGAAAATGAGGTCGTTTCTGGTGGGTGTTTGGTCGTTTCCAATGGTGTTTCGGCAAGGTTTCACCGAAAAATGGAAAAGAGGGAGATGGAAATTGTTTTGTTGTTGTTAAATGGTTGTTTCTGGTGGCTTGATGTTGTTTTCAGGCGGTGGTTGGTGTGTTGCTTCGACGGAATAAG